ACTCTGATCGAGCTCGCTCTTTCCACAAATGACAGCCCGCGTTACATCCGAACGTTATCATAATGCAAAATGGAGGTGAATAGAACATGCTCGTATCAGAGGACCAAAACACACCAAGTAGCCCAAAACAAGTCCATTTGGTTTGTTTTACGAACAACCAATTTCAGAATTAAACACTTGCTTTCTTTCTTTACAGCTTTTATGAGGAAATCACGCCTCAAGAGTGGAACTCACTGGAAAAAGAAGCAAGTAAAATAAAAGGTACATTCTGTATCCGCCTTTGGATGCGCTATAAGTCTGTGAAACTTTAATTTGTCTTAATACCTGAGAGTATATACTTTTGCCTATATTGTCGATTTCATTCACTTTCAAGCTATACTCATTTTGTAATTGACAGGCGAAGTGACAGAGAAAATTGTTCTGGTAAAGACAAATGCATCACCATCAATCCCAGAAGAGGTTGCGACCTCAAGCGCACAGGAGACACCCAGCTCCTCGCAGTCATTGACAGACGGTGGAGCCTGTGACTTCAATGAAGATTTAGATACCACCGAAAATAAATCTACGAAAACCCCGTTAAACACCAAATATGTACCCTCTTACACTGAACCCTGGTTCGTGACAGAGATGTGGAAGAACCCGGGTAAAACTAGAACTAAAATGAAATCTTTTAAAGAAATATTCCGGAAGAAAAAATATTCACGCTTTTTAGATGAACAAATTGACGAAGATTCGTCGGATGATGAACTTTCACAAGTTAAGTCAAAAGTCAAATTGCGAACCAAGATCCTAACACGACGAAGTCAACGCCGAAGCCGTGAAAGAGAGCCACCTGAAGTTTCATTATCGAGAAGCTTGTCACCCTCTTCCATGTTTAATGACTACCAAGGACATATTGAGACTAGTATCTCTTTTGCTGCGCATGTCAGGAGACAAGGTCCCGGATTTTCGGCCAGTTGTACTCAGACCCTGCGCACCAGTGATTTTATGTCGATCAGCGACTTATTTGAAAGCGAGGTACAGAGTAACGTGACGGTCAATCCGCTCTTCGAGGACGACGACAGTGAAGACGAAGAGTATGTCAAACGAGCAAGACCGAGGAGGTATCGATTGTATACCATCGATGAAGAATCGGAATCTTTCGACTCCAATTAATATCATGTAAAAAGATGTGTATGTATATAAAATTATATGATAAGCTGCAATACACGCATTTTGATTGGTCCTTACTCACTCTCTACTGGAGGCCAGAGGCATAGACGACGTCACCATTACAATCATTTTGGTTTTTTATCATATAAAACAAAGAGGTTCTACGTTACCGTGGGTCTGTACGGTAATAGATCGCAGAAACCGCCAAAATGTGGCTACGCCTTCTGTGCCATTTTTTCCTTCTCACCGTATCTTGACGTCATCCGTGATCTATCATTGAAAAGCTGCACGACAACTTAGGGTCTATTTGAAAAATATAATAATATATATTCTATAATATGCAACATATCAATTCTCAGAGAGCCTGCCTTCCTAAAAAGCGATGACAGTAAGCGCCACACTAATAAGCAACCATAAAAAATTATTTATATCTCGAACGCTCAAGTTGAACAAAATTTCATTGTGGTTCCAGGTAACTTGTATTGCTTTGTCAAGAATGCGCAACGGAAGATTGAAGTAAACTTCTCTAAAAAGAGCCACCATTTTGCTGCAGTAAGGTTCTTTTGTATTTGGAATATCGTTATTCCCAATAGCAGGTTTGGTAAGGTGTAAATCAGTTGAAGGTGGGCGGTACAATCCGAGACTTAGGCGAAGCAAAGTGTCCGATATTACACTCTGCCTTCCGGAAACGGACGAAAGTGTGTGAAATTGGACGGTATCGTCCAAAGACGGATGTAAAATTCCGAAATCATTCCAATGTGTCCGAAGGCGGACAGATAGGTTCAAGGACGGACCCAGTTGTCCCTAATCGGGCGCTGTTGTTCCAAAAAAGGAAACAGGTGTCCGAAACCTGATACAAGTGTCTTAAATCGGACGGGATCGTCCGAAACCGGACACAAGTCCAGAAACGAAGGGACCATCGGAAAATACTCGTAAGTGTTAGATGTCAGTCGGAAACGTCCGAAATCTTACTATGCCGTCTGAAATCGGATTGTAATGTCTAACATCAATGGTAACCCTTCGAGGGAGGGACTCGTAAGGGTGGTTGGGGGCGAACTTGCAACGGGGCGAAAACTCCAGTAACCTTTGAAGTTTGCAAAATTAGATTGAGATCGGAATAATCTCAAAATTTTGTCCTAAAAAAATTGTTTTGTTTTCTGCTCATTCAAACAGTTCGCTAAAACAAGAATTATTAAAAAAAAGAGTTCGTCAACTCGATTCCACCAAGGGACATGCGGTCACCGGCAAATTTTGATGTTATAATCAAAACAAAGTTTAGGTGCTGTCCATATCGAATTTAAAGTGTTGTTTATAGTTTCCAAATCGAGGTACCTGCTCTTTGCTAATCACGTGTGTCTAACGAAACCACGATCGAAGATCGTTATTCTGTTGTTTAGGATTTCAGGTCTATGACATAAATTGCACAATAAAAATTTCAACTTAGAATTAAGACTTATTTTAGAAGACCAAAAGAACAAGAATATAACGGTAAGTCGATAAATTTCTTCTTAGAGTCTAAAATGGTTTACACAGACTTTGTGATTTAATTGTCTTCTTGACTAAGCAGTTTTTAGTTGATGTTTGTTTGGTTGTCAATTGTGCTGTTGTTAAAAGTAATACCTCCTCTGATATAACGATCTTTCACTCGCAAAATATTTTACTGAAGGAAATTTGAAATCGCCCGTAGAATCCATTATAAAAAAAAAAATTTGTGAAATTTAGATAGATTTACCAGTTAGCTTGAAATACGAACAAGCTTTTGTAGGTGTCAAAACTTTATAAACAACTACTTTTTAGAAAATTGCACTTTTTGAAGCGAAAAAGCTTTTTCGTTTATTGCTTTGTGTAGCGAGTTGATAAAATACTTTCACTTCCCTTGCTCTGTTTAAAAAAAAATTGAAAAAAAAAATTCTTCATATCCTATATCTGAATTACGTCAACATTCTCTTTGCTAAGGGTGGTAAATATAGAATTTCCTCGCTTATTTGGTTTCACTTGACAAAGGTAATTTAAATTCTTGTCAAGAATTGAAGTGGAGATTGATAACGATATTTTTTGAGACATAAGTAGTTTTCGCCTTTCTTGTTGTTCATTTTAAAGTGATCTGGAGCCGAATTTGCTTATCACGTGATAAAATTGTAGCGGAATCCTTAAATTTTGGGAACCTCGAAGAATCGCTGTAATTTCTACCTCAACGACCATGAAGGTATATTACCATCATGGACCTAACGTTCCGTAGCTGTCAAGAATGTTGAGGAAAACACGTCTTTATATTCATTGCATTTTCTCTCTTGTTTTTATTTTTTTTTTATCAGAGAAAGATAATGGACAGACGACAGCTCCTATTGGTTGCTGTGCTGTCAGTCACATGCTGTGTTTACGCCCAGCAGGGACAACACACAGGTTCGTTAAAACTGAAACCTCAGAAAACCTCAAGTTGGTGGTGTTAACCTTGCATCTTAATCTCTGTCAACTAACCCATTAACCCACCCCATCCTTGTTGGCCCAACAATGGTCAATATCTAAGGGTGTAACTTACATTGGAGGGGAGGATTAGGGCCTATCCGTAGTGTGTTAAAACAGTACAAATATTTATACATACATATTTCAAAATAACACTATCCTGTCCTTTGTGCAGGCTTCCCGTTCTAAAATTCCTGCTCACTTCATCGATAACGCTAAATGTGCACGTGCCACAATAATTCAATAATTTATACTGAGAAACCGGCTTAACAACATTGTCACCAGAAGGAAATAAACTGTTTAAGCCTTCGTATAGTACTACTCATAATTATCCCCCCATGGACGCTGTCAGAAAGTGCCACTCTCCCTCACATTTAAATCTTTTGTTATCGTTTGAAAGAAGGATTCTCTTTTTATGCTTTCGATTTGAATTTCAGTTTTTGCCATGGTCCTTGGAAAAGGAGGCCAGAAAATGCCGGGTAAGCTTCTTTATTCTAACTCTAAGATTTGATAAAGAAGATTAAATATAAATATTTTTTTTATTCACTGTTACAGAGATCAAAGTCAATGGCGTCAAAATGAATTTGCGCAATCCCGTGAGTCAAGCACCAAAAGAACCCGGGGCCCTCGTGCAAGGTCCTCCCTCAGGTACGCCAATATCGGACCATACACTGCAACTTACGCTTTACTCCCTCTTTGTTTATCGATATAATTTTGCAACTAGACATGGTTCATTATAGTGGTGACAAACACTCATGATTGTGTTGCCATAGATACAACAACTTTCATTGTTGGAAGCAAGGCATCTAATAACAGCAACGGCAAGCTGCCTGTGATGGCAGGTATGATCACGTGAAAAAGTTCTAATCGTACCAATAACTATTGTATTTTGTGCATAGCGAGTGTATCTCCCTAGCTTCAAGCCTTGATAGAGATCAGCTCGGGAGAACACAGAGGTCAAACGTCTGCGAGTGGGCATTCGTTGTAATAACAATGTAATGACATTCGTTGCAATAACAATGCAATGACAATTACATTGTCAGAACCAAGTTGTATCTCACGAGTTACAAACAACCCCACAAGCCAGTAACTCATTGTGTTTTAAAAGCGAACATCTTTTTTAATAAAGCTCAAAATATAAGGGTTGATCAGCAGAATACCCGTACTCGAATATGCTTTGTGTTAGAAAAGTCTTGAGTTGTCCTTTTCCCTATTTTTATTGCCTTTCACATATTACTACGAACGTTACAATTTTATTCGCTTATTCTTCAAGACAGCAGTTACTTCCCTCGTTTTTAGAATTTTGCGCAGGAAATTCGCGCGTTGGGCAGGCCAAAATTGATTCCCTCGCGCATGCCCGACGCTTGACAGCTGTGTTGTTCGGAAGACACCACTCTTTATGCTTTATGTCTTTTTCCAATATCAAGAGACTCATAGATAAGAACAATCGTTTTTTAACTGCTCTGCCGTCAGTTCAAAAGATGTTGCATGTTTGGTCACCTGTGGAAAGTATCACAAGTGATGCATTTTGTCAAAGCCTTTTCTAAAGTAACACATATATCCGATGCAATATATTTCTATATTTGGGTTAAATCTTAAGACTTTCGTTCTTAATGAATTTGAAATTACAAAAATATACAATTAGATACAATAAAAGGCTACAGAATCAAAGCTGTTGACCGACTCAGAACTTAATAACTTATTTATTTTTCCTCACAGAAGCTTTAGTAATGCCTGCAACAAAGAAGCCAAAGACAGGTTCGTGATATCGTCTACAATATTGACGCATGCATGGATGAATGAATAAAATAATGCGATGAAAGAAAGTGAACCTTAAAAGAAACGCCGTGGTAAAGCAGAGACAAAATCATTAAAAAAATCCAAAGATGAAAAAACTATTACTACCTTGATGTGCTCATCAGCCCTTATTGATACACAGTTATTTCATATGACTTTATTTCCATGGATGTGAGAAACGCACTCCTCTCACTTTCGTGAGATCCTCATATCTTGTTTCATTGTCTGTTTAGCTGAAGATAAAGCTATGGATGATCTCAAATTAACAAAAGAAGAGAAAGGTAGGAATTTTACTGTTTGCCTTTATCGGCAGAGATTTGCTCTTTTTAGCCAAAGAGCACAGCAAATGCTTTGACTGTCGTATTTGTCATGAAATCAAAGTTATTGTACATGGTTTTCACTTTCTGATTTTGATAACACTTACACCTTAAATATTCAATACACTTCGCTGGATTTCTCTCATACTCTTTGTTTCAAGCCTCAAAAATAATCTGAACTGTAAAGAAAAAATTTAGACCTTGAAAGGTCTTGCATTTAAGGAGTTCTTGACTGATCATAAGGTTTTATGTGGAATGGAGTGCATTTCTAATGGGTGTCTTAAAACATAAACCAAAGTGATCACAACGACCAATTACAAGTAAGGGACAAATCAGAAGGAGCCAATGAGAACTCAAAGTTAAAACAAGTGAACTAACCGAAGCGCGGGAAAACGCGGTTAACCAAGAGACGATTGAGTTTTGTTTTGCATCTGATTGGTTGATAAAGTGGCGCAAGATTTCTGGACTAATCATAGAGTGAAGAAAAGCAAATCTAAAGCAATCTAGGATTACTTTCGACGCAAATGAATTTTTTTTATAGAAGAAAATTCATTTGTCAACTCTGAATGATTTTTTTTGTAGAGAAATTGTTCCCATGTGAAGACTACAAGCCTTACTGCAAGAATTACGCCCAGACCGGACAATGTAGAGATGTTTATACGCAGAGGTATTGCAGAAAAAGCTGTGATTTATGTAAAGGTGAGAAGAAGGCTAAGATATTAATTATACAAGCAGAAAATAGAGCATTGAAAATTCGGTAACGCATGAGAAAAGGAGAGACATTCTCATGTCACTCTCTCTTAAAAACGGCGGTTCCTCAGCAGAGTACTCGCCTCAGGCCAGGGAAGCTGCGTAGCTTCTTCCCCAGGAACTCTCTCATTCTCATCCTCCGAAAGAATGATCTGAATAAGAGATTGGGGAGTAGGGTTTGATTGCCTAGCAACAGTTTAAGTGCTTTAATGGTGTTATTGCTCGATAATCGTGTGATACTTCGGTGCGTCAGTGTTTCAACACATTTGCAGTAATAGCTGTTTTATGTATGAAAGTCGCGAACGACGAATTTTATTCTTGATAGCTGTCCATTTGTTTTTGACTAAAACTTCAATGAGTGTTTGAGCAAGAAGATGGACGCTCAGATTTGCAAATCTCGTAATTTTAGGAGCCTTAAGAACAACCGAACACTGTATTATATCCTTTTAATGGTTGAAAGTTTAACTTGAAATTTCTGATTTGTATGGCCTGTTTAGTTCCTTATGGAGTGTTCATTGGCTGCCAAGACTTAAATGTCTGTAAGAAGTTTGCCGCATCTGCTTGCATGGTGCATTGGGTCAGGGAGACGTGTAAATCCAAATGTGGAACATGTGGTTATGGTGAGCAGAATATAAAATTAAACCAAGTGAGAGAAAATGAACGAAGATTACGATTTGTAGGTTATATTTCTTTTGTCAGAGTTGACTGACAGAACGTTGGTGCAAGCTTATTTCCCCCTTTTTAGTAGTGAAACACACGAGAGAGGAAACCTCACACGCCCGTACGAGTTGATATAATTCTTATTTACAAGAATTTTCTAGTTCAACCGAAAATAACATCGTGTTACATCACGTCAATTCATTCTTGCACAATGTAAAGTCGTCAAGGACCAATGTCTTAATAAAAATCTTGTAAGGATGATAGAGAGTTTAACCCTTTTATAATACTTGTAAAGGAGAATAATAATTTTGGCTCACCACTGAATAATGAAGGCTAAAAAAAATAATTAGTTCTATGATATGAAAGTAAACTTTTCCTTTTCTCTTTAAGAACGTCAAGGCAACGCCCACATCACCATTGGCAAAAAGAGACATTTCAGTGACACCATAAAGAAGCAGGATAAGACCACGCAGAAGGAAGAGAAGATTGAGACGAAACAGGTAGGCAGTGTGAAACAACTGCAAAAAGTCCTTAAGAAAATGACCAAGAAAGTTAAAGATGCTGTGAAGCAAGTGGCAGCGAAAGTCGAGACACTCGAGAAGAAGAACGACAAACCTGTTATTGCCAAGCCAGTGATCAAACCGACACAGACCCGAAGTGATAATGACGCCAGCGAGAAAAACAGTGACGATGATGACGTCAATGATGATAACGACAATGCTGATGATGAAGATGCTACTGTAAGCAAATACATTATTAGTACAACTGGTTTAGCTTATTACTATTTTTTTATTTTTATGTGCCAGAAAGTGTTTTTCGGAAAGAAATGTGGCTATACAAACACGGTTATGTCCCCTTTTACTTTAACGCTTCAATATTATCAATATGATCACAAATATTTTCACTCATGAATCAAGCATTAAATCTCGGGTATAAAGGAAATAGATCGTGAACTCAAAAAGCCCTCGTCAAAGTCAGATAAACGTTGCTGTGACCCAATCAAGATCCTCCGATAATGGTATTAATAGTAGTTTTCTTTGGTATTTTACGATTTTGTCAAGGACCAAGATGTGAGCGGGGAAGGAAGCTCTGATGACGAAAACGAAGATGATAATGATCATGACGACAATGCATCAGGCGTGGCCAACGCTGAGGACAAACCTGAAGAACCAATCAGACTTGACACAGATCCACGTGGTGAGCCCGTGGTCGCCAAGATGGTCCATCAGCCAATCAAATTCAACGACGCTCCTCTGAAAGCGATGCATGTTAAAATTGTCAAGAGCAAGAAACAAGCCAAGAAGGTGGAGGATGCAAAACCGAAAGTTGAGGTCAAGAAGACGGCGAAAAAAGTCAGCAGTGATAAAGTAGTGAAGAAGGCCAAAAAAATTGATAAAGTAGTGAAGCAAGACAAGCCAAAGATTAAAACCACGAAACCGAAGAAGTTAAAAAATTAAAATCAATATTCGTAACAATTTACGATTGAAAAATGAGGACTTTTGCTTCATTTCGCTTATGTGGACGTTATTTCATCAGAATGTATAATGTAGAAATACTAAATGATTATTAAACTTCAGAGTAGTTTTTTTCCCCTGGACTTTACTTGTCAGCTCACGTGCAGGTGAAGTAGGTCAGTAGCTTTTAACAGTGTTTACTCACAAGGAAGATCAATGCTTTCAGATTGGTATTATGTCGACTTCCCTCGCATGATCAGTTTATTGTATTTTAAATAAATACATTTACTTTTGAAATTATGTACTGCCTTAAAAGTCTTTAATTTGCGCAATAAATATTTTTCTGTAATGAAATATGACTATCTGATTCTTCCCTGCGACTCGAATCCTCACCCTGAGTTAGATGTCGCCACCTGCATTTCTTATCTTTTTTCTTTTCCTTTTTATTAAACTGAGATCTGAAGTTCTTAACTAACTCGAAGACTAGTGGGAGTCCCTTAGATTCTGAATTTCAGTCCGCCACTTATTAATACCGAAATATGACTTATTTTAATAATTTTTCAAGAGAAATGAATCCACTGAGATTAAAGGGGGTAAGTTTCTGAAAAACTGTATTTCTGCATTCAGACCGAATCGAGGAATTTGGATTGTGTGTGGTTTATGTACTAAAGGATCGAGCTACGCGTTTGGTGGGAGCATGGTAAAAATAAAACACAAGAAAAAAAAACACAAAAACACAAGAATAAGCGTTTGTTGATACTGTGGGGATTGAGATGAGCCTCGCTCCTATCACGAGGCTTCGTAGCTCAGTTCCAGGTCTCAGTCTTTATCTAAAGGGACACTAGTTTGAACTCGTCCAAATCTGAATGCTTTCTAGGGCTTCATTTTCTTTATATGGCTCTAACTGCTGCTCAACTGCAAGATTCGACACATACCTTTGGAGCCGCTTGTTGACAGGACTACCGTCCGTCTCTAACCATATTCGTAAAGTGTTTTTGAAGCAGTTCTATGAAAGGTGTTTTGGGTACAGCCAGAACGGGTATTGAAGTTCACCGTTCCCATCATTAACCGTGCCTTATGAAGTTGGGCTGTTCCAAATTCGAATTTATTAGTTTGGTTTCCAAACCGAATCGTATCCTTAGCTGGTTAAAAGAAATTAAATTAATTGTCAAAAGATACCCCCAGCATTACACACGCGCTGTTTTGTTTGGTACGATCATTTTGAACATTTATCTTCCAACATCGCAATCTGCAAAATTCAGATTAACTATGTTCCTCTGAACAAAACGGGTGCGACCATTAACTCGTACTCAGCTCCTGGAGGATCAATGTTCCTCTCGGACAGACAAGCACGTGACTCGCTGAGAATTATGGGATCATATTTTTTCTCAATTGAAAGAGCTGCCAAATTATTGTTTTAAATGTTATCATATTTTTGAAATTCAAAACAACCTTTCGGAGGGACCGTTCGTGTTTTCCTTTATGTCTCCTTCATAACCATAAAATTATCAGGTAAGAGCTATATTCATGAAAAGCTTGTTTATCGAGTAAATTGTTTGATTGTCTAAATATACGAACTGAGCTCCAAGAACATTGACAGAAAAATCAATTAATTGGACACAACTTTTCTCTGTTGAACAAGTTATTACTATTTAATCGATCCATTTCTCTCACGCTTATGAAGTTGACTTATTTCTGACTGCATATCTTGAGACTGAGAAATGAAAAATTCTTACCATTATCGCCGTCACTAGACGCAATTTATACCAATTTACGCTGTTATTTGCTCAGCAGATTACTATTACTGTTAGATAATGAGTTGTGCTCCTCTAGTGTATATAGCAAATACCTTTTACATTATCTCTGTTCGTTCCATAGAACCATGTTCAAGCTGATGTAAAAATCAATTTTTTTTAAACAGCATTTTAGAATAATCACGACAAATTGCATGCATATAGGAGTTCATCTTATTAACAGACTCGATCTTAACAACCGGTCTATAACCTGCTCTCCTTTGTCAGATAAAGAAAACGATGAAGTTGACGGCGACAAGATATGGCGTAAAGGCACTTTTCATATTATTCTTTTGTGCTGTACAGCATGGACTCGTGGAGGCTAAAGGTAAATACGAGATTTATCCACTGAAACAGCCTGGTTTGATATACTCCTAATTCAATTAATCGATCTATTGACTTATTGTTTTCATTCTGGCCGTGATCTTTACCAGCTTTGAATAATGGCATATGAAAGATAATTCAAATGGCAAATAAACAGGGATAAATGCTGGTTGAAAGCTTCAATGCCAACAAGATTGAAACGCAAAGCTTCATTGAACCGCAAGGTTTCACAAATGATTTCGCCACTAAGTACTATGATTTTATTGTTCTCCTGACGAAATAGTGGTGCTCCGATCACTGTGAATTATTTATGATGAACAGTTTGGCCATTTTCAGCTGGAAAAACACCAGCTGAAGTTTACATACAAGTAATGCGGCGACACCTGTCTCAAGTGAGATTTTAACAAAACATAAAACCGTAGGTTTAAATGTAGGAATTCATCTTAGGTCGAGGAATACCCTATTACTTTTAGAGTTTTTTAAGATGCGCTAAAACTGGATGGCTGAACAATACTTGAAATTGAAAAACTTTGAAGATTTAATTAACGTAGCTTTACAGGTCAATCTGTCAGTGACAAACACTGCATAACCAGCTCAGCCTGGAAGATTTGGAAAACGCAGGAGCAAAGTTTCCTTACAGTTGACTCAAACAGGCGAATATGGATGTTTGGAAATCGCTGAAATACTTCTGTCTTTATCAAAATGAAAGCAATCAGCGCAGTTCATCTTAATTTCGCTACCATCAGTTCTGTAGTCCGCAGTCAGATTATTCACTTTCCAGGTTTTTCGCTTTGCAATATTTAATTGTTCTGTTCGGTACATGGCTTTTAAGAGGAAAATGGAATTTCCGTGGCAATTTCCCAGTAAAAGGTAAACTTTCATCGCAACCACCGACTCTGATGATAAAGATTGATGGTTCCCAAAATATCGATTAATTCCTAGGAGAACAAAGAGGGCGAAAAAATACCTGGATAAAGAGGGCACTTTATAGGTTTATTTTTCCGTGACGGAAAATTCACAAAAACAAGCAATATAATAATTGATAATCTTCAAAGCTAGGTCAATATTCTAGAAAGGATTGTCGGCCTTCCTTATTACTTTTTTATGGTTGGTTTTACAAAACCAACACGGGCACTTGTAAGTTTATTATGAGAAAATCAGCGTTTGAAGAGAACACCCGCATTGCCAATGAGATCACAAGCTGTTAGGGAATTATATCTCCAAAAAAAAACATTCAATGCTGGGACTCTTATCATGGCTGATTGTTTTTGGTACTGAGACACAAGAGGAATTGTTTGTTTACTTATACACAACTGTGCCGTGGTTTATTAGCATGACTTTGTCCTCAAAGCACCGATGTTTATCGGTGATTGGGTAATCTATGACGGGGAGACAATCAAGGATTTTGATTTAGTTTAACATGGAGAGATTTAGCTAAAAGAGGCGTACAAGGAAATTCCTTAAAATTTTATCCTCTTTTCTATCAAGGAGTTTCAATGTCCGTGCCTCTCTTACAGCAAAAAAATTTAATGGGACTACACAGACATAAAATGCCGCATATACCTCGCATCTTAAACAGCCTATGCAACGCAACATTTATGGAAGAAAGAGACTGCGAAAAGATGATGAACATCTTCATATTCGACAAAGAAAGATGTTAGGTTTTTGGACATCATGATTTCAGGAAATCTGTGCGCTATATAAGATTTTACATCTCTTGGACCTTAAAAGCTATAAGCGGAGCCTTTGCATTGCAGGTTACACAACTTCTCGGAAAAGTAGCGGGGCACTTGCTGATAAAATACCTCCGGCCACGGAAGCTAGTGGAGCGTCAGGCCCTCTCTTTAATGCGCTACATTATTCACTCTCTCTTGCTTATTTCAGTGTATTTATTGAGTCGTTCCTTCTACGTTTTTCCTTGAACAGCCATCAAGAAATCAAAACATGCCGTTCACAAAAGTGGAAGCAAGAAATACAATGGTAAATCGTACACATAAGATTATTTACCTTGCCGATCAGTTACCTTCAGATCTGGTTCCAATTTCACCATTAAATGCAGATAATAAATGAAATCTCTATTTAATTTCTTTCAGCCCCAAAGGGTGAATTTTGTGTCAACCATTCCTACTGCTCCAAATACAGTGATCTTGATTGCGCTTCAGAATGGGTTCAGCTGAACTGTCCCAGAATGTGCAGACTCTGTGAATATGAAGGTATAGCACTCTGTTTTATCACAGCAGAAGGGTCACCTAGTTGTCTTTGTCCATCGATTAGTGCTAATATCGCACAAAATGATTCCACTTAGGCTAGAAAACTCTGATGGGCCTATTTGCCGTTCAGTCGTCTAGTTAACGTTAAATTTTCCCCCAAAATGACGGTAGCAGTTGCGTTCCACACCAATGGATTTATTCCTGGTAAATTTAAATGCATTACAGGCAACCTTGTTGTTTTTTTCTAGAATTAATAAGGATGTGCCAAAGCTGGTTGTTTAAAACTTGATTGTATAATGAAAATATTTATTATTCCGACGCCATTACAGGACCTGAATTAATGAAGCTTCCTGCCGTCTTGTATTACAAGAAAGGAGACAAAAAGCATGGAATAAGTGGATCGAAACACAAGAATAAACACTCTGCCAAACACATAGACAAACGAGATGATGGCGATAGACGTGATGTCGTTTTCCTTAGACATCCAAATGACTATTCACCAACCAAACAGCCCGACGTTGTCCCGACAACCAGCTACAAGCTTTTTGACTACCAGAGCAATTACAGGAAATGGTTATTCCTTTACCCGGACGAGCATCCTGTTCATATGCAGTACGTTGACGAGGGAAAAGCTGCCGACCCTTATCAGCAAAACACGGCTCAGCAGACAGCTCCTGGCGCCCAGGATGCCGCTCCTGCTGGACAGGCTGCTGCTCCAGCTTCTGCTGTTGCTACCCCTGCCGTTGGTGCTGCGCCTGTGGCTGCTCCTGCTGCCGGCATCTCCCCTGCAGCTGCCTCAACCACCGCTTCTGCAGCTGCGCCCGCAGCTGTTCCTGCTGCTGGTACATCTGCAGCTGCTCCGACCGCAGGTGCAACACCAGGTGTTGCTCCTGTAGCGGCTGAAACACCTGCTCCCGCAGTTGCCTCCGCTGTGCCTAATGCTGGTGCACCTGCAGCACCTAACCCAGCAGTTCCCCAAGTAGGACAGGCTGCTGCGGCTGTTCAGCAGCCTGCTGCACCAATTGCAGCTCAGCAACTTGTCGCCGCGCAACAGCCAGCTGCAAATGAAACCATCCAAGTAATCAATCAAACAGTTTCACTTGCTTCTAACACAACAGGCTTTGTACCATCGGTGGCAAACGTGAGCCAACCAAACCAGACCATCATGGCTGGAGCATTTACTGCGGGAAATACGACCTCGAACGAGACCATTGCTACAGGTAACGCTCACTTAGTACAAGAGAATATTAATTGATATTCTCTTGCTTAGTTTTGGGGTAAATCAAGTTCAGCACAGCTGTTGCATTTCCTAATGACATGGATAAGTTTGATATTCTATTGATTTAGTCATTATAATACAATTTGTTTTCAAATGTACACACCTAAATACTGTTTTTGCCTACTACAAAGGAAGCTCACATATTACATATTTAATTATCTCTTTCATGATACATTTTTATGTTTCTCAATCACAAATGAAATTTTTTACCATTTTTGTCTGCTCTGTTGGTTAGGGTGTTTCTTTTTTTGGTCCCGAGTAGTATTTCTTCTTTTAGACCACAATACGAGTTTTACTGCCTTGGGGATCAATCTCTGATATCAGTAGTTTATGGTTGTGTTGTTCTCATTATCGTTTTGCTCAATGTTGCAATGCTAACTGGAGACGCTAATTTTTCTTGCACAAGGTAACATCACCTCATTAAATCAGTCTCAACCATGGATAGAGCCACTTTCACAGAATTCAACACTGTCACAAAACACGTCATTGTCAGAGAATTCTTCATTATCAAAAAATTTGACGCAATCATCAGCACTCGCACAAAATCAAACTAGTCCACAATTACAAAATACATCATCACCAAACGCATTGGCCATATCAGCGCTTCTGAAAGACAAAACATCCACAGAGGAAACACTTGAATCGCCGAATGCTTCACCACTGTCACCATTCCACTTATCAGAAGAAGAGGTAACTTCACAACACAAACTTCATCTTGTCAACTCGGATAAGTCGAGTAAAATGCAAGGAAATTTTAGCCCTAATGCTGCAAGTGTTACTTTGTCTGGTCCAGGTACTTTAGATCTGACGTCTACTGGACAGTCCTTTACTCAGGATGTCATTGTAGACCCACAACAGGCGGATTCTGACAATGCCGCTGATTACCCGTGGACGTGTTGCAAGAAACAGCCGAGACCAGAAGGTTGCAAGAAGTGCCCTGATATGCCAAAGGCTCCACCATGTAAGTGGTCCCATGTTCATCTTCTTGCGTATATTCGAATGATTAAGGCGTCCGTACGCTGGAAAATGGAAATATATAATTTGAGTTGTAAAATACTCCTCTGTTCTCTAAGTGTTGAGGAAAACACAGCAATAATCAGTAGATGAAACCTGCAATTTCTGGACCACAGCAAAAAGCGAGGCTTCGCATTAAGAAAATTTTCTGTACTCACAGGAAATACCCTAATCTGCATTATGGGTAAAAGTGTGACTCTTTCTCATTTGTTATGCCCCTATTATCAAATTTGAAAATCGAACCACTGGTTTTTCTCCATGAGAAAAGAACTCAGCCTCCCATTTCAGATTGCATGTATTAGATATTTTATTTATCTTATTTCAGTGACCCACATATTCGGCGTTTATTGCAATGACTTGTACAAAGACTGTGCCTATGGATACTCAAACTGCAACGACACCTGGTGGCAGATCAATTGTCCCAAGAGATGCAACCTTTGCAAAAGTAAGCAAGTCGTCAAGATGTTTGGTTGATCACGAGCTCAACATTTTTTCCTTTAACAAATCAACGTTTCACATTTATTCACAGTCTTACATATTGCTAATTTCGAACACGGGTTTACTTTCCTGCAGCCGAGGATGCGCAGAGCCGCACTGAAGCCACTCAGACCAAAGAGATTTATCCATCTGAGGTGAACGATCTTAAGGAGAACGCCACCCTGGAGTCGGATCTGGTTGCACCAGCCCCCGGAGTCAAGCCCCTTGTGGCCAAATACACTCTCAGAGTGAAGCCTAAGCTACTTAACGGCGTGCCACAGACACAAGAGATCCGCATCATGCCTCCAAACAAGGCTGGGGTCGAAGGATACGTAAAACCACTTATGGTGCTGAAGCAAAATATAACTAAGCCTATGATTGAGAATATTGAGATCGACATCCCACCAAAGGGTGCCAAATTTAGTTCCAAGCCAAGTGTGGAGGTCATTGAAGGAGATCATACAGAGATGTTACAAGTAAGCAAGGGACAGGCCATAGTAGAGGATCCCGTGCAGAAGTCTCAGACGGAGCCTGAAGGTAGGATGGAGGGTGTAGATCTGCTGTAATGATCTTTTACAATGGAAAGGGAGGAGTTCTTGTAGGTAGAGAGGTCTAAAGCATGTATTTTTTTAAAAGCTTCTATCTCTCTTATAGATCAGCCATAGATCGCAATTTACCCCTACGTTTGTTTTGAGTTGATTGCTGATGTGAAGAAAAGAATCAATTTAGTTGCAACAAATGTTGTTTTTACTGATGTACTTTTGATGTAAGTTCCTGAGTTGCATCGTTTTTTGTTTAAATATGAAATTTAAAGGGTCAAAGCCCGAAAAAGAGGCAACTGATGTAACTGCAAGCAACCAGACTGAATCCTCCCCAGTAACAAAAGAAGCTTCAAACAACGCCACCCAAGATCAAACAAACTCAGAGAGTCAGTCTCCATTAGACAACCAAGCTGCAACATCGGCTGACCAGGCAGACCAAGTCCAAGCCACCACAACAGCCCAAGCCACCGCTGCAGCTCCTGAAGCTGCTACTGCTACCACATCAACCCAAACCGATGCCACCAGCGCTGCAACTACTCAGGCCGATACATCAGCTGCTCAAGCTGCTGCCTATACCAGCAGTAAGTTACTAAGTCTGTATCATTATTATTGTTGAATTGTTACGAATTGTGCATAATTTTGCTTAATGATGTGTTGTTCACAGCCCAAACTTGTACTGATGATGGCAGATGTGCACCATACACCGCTGATCGTTGTGCAGATCCGTGGTTGAGAGAAAACTGCAAGAGCTTGTGCAAACTATGTTAAATACTTAAAAGGTATGCATTTTGGTTTACTTTTGAATGAAAGCGAGGAGAGATAAAGGTATTCTCCTAAGCACGAAGATCTTTAATTACCGTTAACATACAAACCAACCAAATAACGTCAAGTTCAAACGAGCTGCTAAGTTGTTATCATAACAACAAAATAGGCTTATGGGGTGCCGTAATCCTGTTTTTACGGCAAAGGAAGGGGAGGGTGGGTAGATGTGGCTCTTTAGCTTCAAAACGAGAACGAGAAAAAAGCGGCAACAATACTTGGCTGGAGACGATAGGTCCGTCACCTCTATACCGGAGCAATTAAGGTGTAAGGAAAAAAAAAAGCCCGTGTGGTTAAAATGGAAAATTTTTGTCAGTGGAGAAGAATGTCAAACTATGACATATTCATGTCAAAGGGGAGAGTCCCACAGCCAAGTGAACACGAAAAGAAACTGGATATTCTTGAAAACCTGATTTTGTATATTTTTTCTCTCTCAGGTTTTGGACGTGACTGCAGCTGTAGATAAAAAAACTCTTAGGGCTTCAAGTCAGCTGATGGCGTTACTTCACTTTATGGCTTTGCCTTGTGGTTTTCATTACTGATTTAGCAGTAGATTAGAATCGACCTTAATTTGGAATTAGTATAACTAACTTTGATCTCTTTTGTGCACAAGGCTATTTGTAATGTGCAGCTTGCTGTTCTCAGTTCAGTTAGGGAAAATCGAGTCATCAGTATTGTTTTAAAATCGTCTAGGTGCGGTGTTATATTCAATTATTAGATTACTTAATTAAATCACAGGTTTTTTTCCAGAGACGTGAATCAGTGGTGAGAGGTCATCGTGAATCAAACATATAGCTATTCTATGAATACAAATGCCATCTTTTGGATTACTAAATTCTATTTTGCTTGTGAAGTGCATGTTTATTCTTTAAATAAAAATCGTCATAAATGAACGTACATGTGTTTCGAGCTCAGCTCGGCAGTAAATGATCGTTGAACAAATCGGGAGGGAAGAATTTCTGAATCTACGAACGAGCAAATGCATGATCGTGGACCAATCAAGGAAAGAATTTGTATAGGTAAGTATAAATGGACATTTATAAAATTTTTCTAAGACAAAAATATGCACGAACCCTTAGGCACGTGCAGTTTGTAGTCTGTAAAAAAATTTACAAGTGCTTATTACTCCAAATTGCAAGAGAAATCACGATTTTACTTTTTAACAATGTACATGAGAAAACAACAGAGAAAGTCAAAGCAGACGAAATTTTGAAAGCGTGCGCGCGCTATTTGTAATTTGTACTCGTGTTATAATTTTGCACTTGCGTTGTATGAGAATGCATTCGTTTTCACCCAATCAGAAGCACGTAATTTTTCTTGTGTACATTATTTATTGAATTAACAAACGAACTTAAGTTTGAATGAACGTGCTAGTAGATGACAAAAAGGATAATTGAATGAATGAAGAAATGCGTTAATGAACAAATTAAAAGGAACATTCTCCACGCCCCTGAGCGTTGCTCCAGGGAATTTGCTGATAGTATCCTTTTATTCGAACCCAATGCTCTTATGTTCAGAAAATTATAAATTTTATTTTCTTCTGTTGCCCCAAATCTAGTGCTAGTGGCCCAACCAACGTTGAACAGCTTGCATTAGAAATTTCATTTCCTGTTTTCATCATAACGCGACTTGCAAGCGATCTAGATACGTATACGGTTAAAAGCTAGCATTAAAACTCGTCGCCCGCATTATTAGTATTTATTTAGTCATACCTACTTGACTAAACACAACGTTGGAATGTGATCGTCCACTCAGAGGAGAGCAGTTCTGAAAAAACCGTTGTCAGTTATTGTCAGTTTCAGTGGCTGAAGCGTTATGGCAACTTGAGTGGAAGTCATCATCAGCGTCACTTGACTCTGTCAATGACTTCCACTAAAATTCATCGAAACGTCAGTTACTGTTACCAACAACTGCTTTAACCCTGACAATCTCCTGTACAATCCAAGGCTACTCCCCGGTACAAACCCGTCACTGTGGTTTTCTTAACTGTATGACGAAATGTTCATTTATACTGCCCCACGTGCATTATGGAAGATATGGACTCGAGCAATAGATCTAAAGTTTCTACTTACAAGCGATAATAATGGAAAAGCTGGCGTGTTCACCATCCGATGCGATAATTGTTTTTTGTTTGAAATGCCGATGGACCTACGTATAAGCTCGGTAGGTTTTTAAAGTAACAAAGGGATGTTTCCAGCCCATTAAGCAGAAAGGTCACCAGTAAAAAGCCTTCCTAAAATTTTCGTGAGCTGACATCTTCAAACTTGTCAGTCTTTGGCAGGGAAATCCATTAGTGACAAAGTGAACGTTAGCCTACTCTCGAAAAAAAATGATAAAAATCGTCCTGTTATTCGTGTGCTTAGCCCTAACCGAGGGAAGAAATATCCAAAGATTTGCTCGAGGTAAGTGTTGACACTTTGGTTGGTTACTACCAGTTTTAAAGTCAAAATAATTTGGAATTGGCCTACATAACATGATTTCAACGGGTAAGATTCGGAAACCGCTTAAAGAAAAACAAGAATTCAGACTAAACTTCGTCAGTTTGTTGATCCAAAACGGAAAAGGAATAAACACTAAAGTAATGTGATATAAAAAGATTCTGGATGAGGCCAAAACATAGAGATGACCAGAAATCATTAGGAAGGCCAACTTGCTTCGATCTCGGAAAAAGTTCAAAATCCATAATTAAATAATGTTTTCATACTTGAATCTGGAGTTGATGAAACCTGTCCAATCCTTCTGACATGAGGTTCTTATTTTATCAAACAAAACTCATATTTTTTGGCTGGCTTTTTCTTCAGTAAATATGAAAAATGTTGGACTTGCGATCGCGTTTTTTATGAAAATTTGGGAAGAAGTTTAACATACAAAAACACGTGTAAGTCTTATGAAAGCGGCAACTTTATTCTTATGAAACAGTTAGGCGAGGGTAAATTTAAAAGTGTTTTCAAAATTTAGCTTTTGATATGAGTGGAAAATCTTCACATGAAGAACATTCTTCACCACAGTTTTTATATAGTAACTGATCATGCGTGTCGGATTTGACATAAGTACCAGTAGTTGGCTTTCAATTCGTAGGCTTTGTTAATAGCGTAGGTGGTAAAACAGCGGCAGAATTCTGCTCTGTTTTTTTGTCATCATGAGAACCAAGTTACTCAGAAGAAACACATTCTATGACAGCAAACTAAATACTCTTCCATAGCCGAGGGTCTCAATGGGGTTAACCTGTAGTCGTAAAACGTCCAAAAAATTTAGCCGCAAGGGGTAAAAATTGAAAAATGTTTTAAACCGTTAGTCGTAAAAAAAATAAACCGTGGTGACCACCATGGAATTATATTAGCCGTTAGACGTAAACTGTCCAATTGATTAACCGTAAAAGCCATCACCTCATCGAGACTCTCATGGTCTCTTCGTCAATAGTTAGGATTTTGGTCCAACACGCAGCCTTGAAGAGCGCCTCAGTTATTGGATTTATCAGTTCGTTACACCTGTTGACTATAAAATCGAACATTTTCAAAAGAGAACATTTCTGTTGTTTTAGCCACAATTTTAGCAAACTAACAAACTAATTTCGAAAAGCGGGAAAAAGTATGAATTTGCAGAATTAAAAAATTGTCGTCAGAAACCATTGAAATACATAGAGTGTTCTTTTAGGTGGCTTTGCAAGTTTCAATGGATTTGAGCTTAGTCGATTATTATATGGGCCTCTTTGTTTGATACTTTCCCCTTTTCATTTGAAAAAGAGGAAAGCGGGAACACCACAGCTACAGACCTCAAGGATGTAACAGGGAGTGCTGACGATGCCCCGGAGGTTTCCGAGTTCCAGGCGGACTTAGTCGCTCCTGCCTCGGGACCTAAGCCCCTCGAGGCAAAGTATACAATCAGAGTCAAGCCAAAGTTAAAAGATGGTGTCCCACAGATCCAGGAAATCCGCATCATGCCACCAAGAAGCAACTCCACCAAAGAATACGCTAAACCAATAATGGTGTTAAAGCAAAATATAACAAAACCCCTCATTGAAAATATCGAGATTGATGTTCCTGAAAAGGGAGTCAAGTATTCGTCAAAGCCAAGCGTGGAGGTCATCGAAGGAAACCATAAGGAGAGGATGAGGGTTACCAAAGGAGAAGCAGTTGTGGAAAGTGCTGCTCAGAAGTCTGAGACGAATTCTAAAGGTATGAGCCTTCTAAAAAATAACCGAGGGATGAACCTGGATTGACAATTGTCTTTTTCTTTCACAGATGAACAGGACAAACCCCAAGATCAGGTTGCTTCCCAGAACACAACACAAACATCCAAGAAAGTATCAAAGCCGTCTGCCTCGCAGAATTCGACAAGTCCTTCGACTTCTCAGGATGCATCAGATAAAACGACCTCTCAAAATGCTACATACTCAGCAACTTCCAAAGATGCACCTCAGAAGCTAAGCTCCAAGGATGCAACAGAGACCAATGCTGCTAGTTCACCACAGACATCAGCTGCCCCTCCGAGCGCGCCTAGTGCCGATCACACAGCTCCTCAAGACCAGGCCCCTGCTTCTGATTCAAGCTCATCCCAAAAGGAACCTCAGCAGCCCCCCTCTCAGGATTCAACAGCCTCCACCCAGACTCCAGCTGCCCCTCAGAGCACGCCAGGGTTATCCCAAAATGCACCTCAGCAGTCGCCCTCCAAGGATTCCGCGGCGTCCACCCAGACTCCAGCTGCTCCTCGAAAAACACCCAGCGCTGACCAGGCAGTTCCTCAAACCCAGTCACCAGCCCAGGCTGTGCAGGCTGCTCCTGCCGCATCAGCTTACTCGCAGCCAGCTCCAGTAGTCTCAGCCCCTCCAGCCCCCGCTCCGGCTGCCTATTACAGCGGTAATGAAATTGCTGTATACTGTTTGTACTCTCACATTCTAATGCTCCTTCAAAAGCAAGATTCAAAACTCATGAGAAATTAAGAATTTTTAAATTTTATTAATAATCATTCTCTTTCAAATCCAACAGCACCTCAAACTTGTTCTGACCACAGCGTGTGTAGAATTTATCCTGATGACCGCTGCAGGGAAACGTGGCTGCAGACCAACTGCCGGCTCAAGTGCAGACTCTGTTCGAAGTAAAACCGACCCAAGATCCTAACTGTTATCCATTGAAAGAAAAACTTAAACATAAAATAGAAGTAAAAAGAAAAAGAAATAGACTATAAACTTTAATTTTAGTCTCTTGTTTACCAGAGAATTTTTTTTCTGTTGTGAAGCGAATCTCAAAATTTGTTCAAAGTTAAGTTTAAAGATTTCTTCAGCCAGCTTCGTGCGTTGTAGCTTCACTTTTCAATTTCATTTTTGGCAAATTAGACATCCTTGTAGATGAGGAGAAAGTTGATTTGTGGAGCATGCAACATTCGTCGATATATTTTTCGAAAGGTTCAATTTTTTTCAAATTCTGCTTGCGATGTCCTGCATGTCATAAAGGGTTATTCAGCAATTCCAGTGACAAGACTTTCATCACCAAAACCTCTGCAGTATTGCCGTAACGGATTATCAATTTTTGGTATAAAACAATTTTGTGTTATGTTCCTACCATGTTTTTGTTTCCTCTTCGTTTGAGTTTCCGCAGTTTTTCTTTTGCAGAGTTATTGTAAGTTTCCTTTTAAGTCTTTTAAAGACATTTTTGCTAGAGCTAAATTTGAGCAGATTATTTAATGGCAAATAGACGTGTATCATCATGGGATTCTGTAGTTTATAGTTATTCTATTTACATAATTCCATAGGTTCCCTGCATAACTTGCTAATTGTTGGTAATACCTTCTAAGACAGAAATAAAGAAATATAATCAAAATCCTAAATCATGCTTCTTTAAACTTTTGACCCCTAAGAATCACGTGACTAGCAGCTATAATTTCTCCCTACAATATAACCC